TGCCACGCCCACAAAATGGCGGAAACCGAAAACCTATAAAGTATCATAACTAAGCCATAAATAAAGATATTAAAGTGAAATTTGGCACAAAGGATCGCATTAAGGAGGATCATATTTGGACGTAATTTTTTTGGAAAACTGGGCGTGGCCCCGCCCCCTACTAACTTTTTTGTACATATCTCGAAAACTACTATAGGTATGTCAACCAAACTGTATAGACCAGTGTATATGACCAGTGTAGTAAATGCCACAAGGACCTACTTGTCTCAGTCCTTGTCCCGTCCATCGCTTTTCTYGGATGATGGTGATGATAGTATTCACTCTAACGAGCACATCAACCGGCTGGGCAGCGACWCCTTCCCAATTAAGGGACCGGATATTCTGGGTACATACCCTGAAATCGTAGTCCTTAAGTGGGTTCTCTCATGGGAGGCTTGTTGTTTTTTTTATTGGGTRCGTTTTTTACGTGGCGGGTCCGAAACCCAGCGCACAACCCTATGCAGGAGATGTTTCGCCATCACACGGATGTTCTTAGGCTACCCAGAAGATACTTGGTCAAAGACCGGAAGTTGTGAGCTGCTTGAGCCATATGTAAAATAATTGTTTCTGGTTACTCCCAAGTGAATGGCAGTCAGATTACTATYCYCACTTGCGTGAGCCGCTTGTGACAAAATTTAGTTTGTGGTATTCTTACATCATAATGTCACAGTGTGAAAATGTTCGAAATCGGACAACAATCACGCCTACTTCCCATATAATACAATTTTAAATTCCTCTTGATTTGTTAAGTTTAGAGTGGTTTACGCTTTAGAGTGTGCCATCTTATGRCTAATAATTATTTAAAACCAATAAAGACACTCTTAAGCCTTAGGTATGTAGAACCCGGTACCTATAGTTTGCTTTTGATACAAGATGTCGGTCAAAGTGTGATATGCAGTATACATATAACTGAAATTAAGAAATAATCCTTCTCTTTTAATGATATGTGTGTATGTCAAAAATTGTTTGTTTCGGAGCAATACTTCTTTTAGCTCCCTTATTTAGTATACAAATTTTCGAACTTTCGGGTGACTTTGTACCGCATATTTGGGCCAATATGTGAGTTATCCCAATGAAAATAAGAGAGCGTGTCCAAGAGTATAAAATGTTCGGTTAGCTCTGTCCTTTCTTACTTGTTGTTATTATAATTGTTCATGATCCATATGCTAAAGAACATCTGCGTTGCCGAATTCGCTTTGAAGATGGTGAATATTGACGTTTGTTGCGTTATCTTACAAATGGTCTTTTATGACGAATTGCGATTTCATTTTCGAAGTTTCGCCGTTTTGATGTTCCATTTTAGTACAGCTAAAATTTGCGCTTTCCTATTCTTTAATATTTTCTGCATAAAATGAATGTGCTAACTTTCCATTTTATAACACTTTCGTCCCTCCATGCACCGCCCACGAGACTTAGCTTTCAATTCGAAAAATATGTATGACAATGTGTATCTAAAATTACTAGATATACATATGTATATGTATGTATATGATAATTGACTATTTTTGGATGTATAACATAGAAATTTAACAAAACCCTTATTTATTTGATTTTTAGTATTGCATTTGAAAATATAGAGATATTTAATCGAAATTCTTCCATTCTGCTCAACTAGCAAACTTACGTTAACGCCTATTGCTTTAATGTTTTTTATATACCTCAAAAGGGTTTCTTATGCAACTCAATCATTGCTTGCAGCCTTAATTACTAAATTACGCTGTTATTATTATTGTTTTTTTTTTCATATTTCCAAAATATTTAGGGGAAATTCAGTTTATGTTCGGATGGCTCAAAAATGAGGAGAGAGGACTGTCAGTAAGTAAATAATTTTATTATAAATTCTCAATATATTTTAAACTTTTAAAACAAGAAGGCGAAAGCGCAAAATAAAATTCCGGTGTATATATACATACATACATGTGATAGCACATCAGTTTTTGATAAGTTAAATTAAAATTCTAATGATAATAGTAATATAATATAACCATCTCTCGGCTGATTATTGGATCATGCTATTATTTTTTAGAGATTGGGTCATAAGTAAAGGAAAAACTTCTCCGTTTTTTAAAGTTAGCACTCGAAACGTAAATGTAGTCTTCTATGTCCAAAACTTGACTTATTGTGGACAATTATTATTTATTATTCTATTTAAATTATAATATTAATTAGGTAGCTTTGTGGTTTAAGATGAATTTTAATATAATTTCTGCGATGATGCGAATTTTTCTTCAGTAGAATCATTCGCCATAGACAGTGACAATAATAGGTGGTGATCCCTTGATGGAAGGACCGAACATTAATAACGTGGTTTCATACCAACTTCCTAACCAAGGTCCCGGAGCTTGTACTGAGAGGACACAATTCCTCTCCTATTGGCCAAAGCTGGTAACTTCTGGGCGATTGCTTTTTCCAAAGGTCCAATTGGTGGCAGTAAGGTCTGAATTAAAAGTTTGACCGTAGAGGAGAGACAATTCCACCAAATACACTGTAAACCCTTCATGATCGTCAATATTGACTTGGCCATCGTTTCCAAATCAAGCACGACCCTTCGCATGATGTTTTCGTAAGTGATCCCTTTTTCAGCAGTGATTTTCCGAGGCGAGTTTGATCCATGAAGTACTTTGCATTTACTCGTGCAGACATTGAGATTATTTTGATATCTAGACTCTTTAAAATAGTACCAAACGAGTTTTTGTACCATGTTTAGCTTCTGGGCAATCGGAACAATACTTGCATGGCGGTCGGACTTGACGATTTCCAATTTATTGTGTTTTCGATGATTGATAAATATAACAGGAAATTAATCCACGAAATTCTCAACTGCGCATGATTGACTCCTACAATATCAAGACTATAAACACTAGTGACATTATCAGCTGCTGAGTGTGCGTTTTCACCTCTATTGAAGAAAAACTGTAAAATGTGGCATATTTTATCTTTACTGGTGGCAATCTTAGAGATGTTATCAAACAATACTGAGTCTAGCAGTTTCACAATGGTCGGTTTGTTTAGATCTACATTTGATCCTTCTAACTCCATATTGCGTTATCCATTTTTGTTTACAAAATGAGAAGATTACTGAAGGTATCTATTGGATTTCTTCTTATTAGATTTTATATGTATATATGGTATATTATTGATAAAAATGTCATCTAATGCAGATAAACATAATAAAATTAAATGCTTGTGTAAGTATCTTACAGTTGCTTTTTCATTTAACAGCAGCTAATTTACGCTAGTAAAGTTTTAATGTACCCTGAACAGAGTTTATGAGGTTTCCCACGAAGTTTGTTGAAACGTCAGAGACCCTATAAAATATACATACATATATAAATAATTTGCATCATGAAATGAATTTATTTACCTACAAGTATGTCCGCTGTCTGTCTGTATACATAAAAACTAACCCTTCAGTTGTTAAGACTTTGAATTTTTGCACCAATACTTTTCTCACCAAGAAGAATTTATCGAATCGGTCAATGATGCCATACAGTCTGAGCAATCAGACTGAAGTGCTTATATGAAATTTTTTCCTTTGACGAAATAACCTCACAAAACTTGGCATGGATCATTATCTAAGGCAGTATATAATCAAATTGAATGAAGAAAATGTGTAGATATAATCCAACCTTGACTGACATAAGAAATATGAAATAGTATGTATATAATGCAGGAATAATTGCGCTATAATTTCTATATGTATGCCTTCAGACATACGAATATTATTAATGTAATTAATTTCACTAAATAGTGGCACCTACTTATTTTATGAAGATGGAGATGTACATAAGCCGCGGTTAAAGGAGCGCGCATGGGATAAAAACAAATTTCACTTCGATGATGTTGCCAAAGCGATGCTCACCTTGTTCACTGTTTCAACTTTTGAAGGATGGCCAGCGTAAGTTTTTATAGTTCATTTAAAGTTCTGTGACCACCTACACATTTTTTAATAATTCCCAACTGTTAGAATATTTTATTCAGTTAAATTGAAAAAACAATGAAATTAGTATAAATAAGTGTCGAGAATTGATAGCTGAACTAAATGAACTAGTGGCTTTCCCTGCACGAAATGTGAGTTGTAATAAGGTATATAGTATCCGTTCCTCATTGTGGGTTGTAACGTTTTAAAGCAGTGAGTTTAATTAAACTATAAGTTGAGACTTCGCTTGATACTTAACTTATGATGGTTAGGCAATACGAAAAACCTTTTCCCTTATTTATATATTTTATTTCACTACCATTCTTTTTTATTTCTTTCATTACAGGCTTTTATATGTATCTATTGATTCTAATGAAGTAGACGGTGGACCGATACATAATTTCCGTCCCATTGTTGCTGCTTATTACATAATTTACATAATTGTAATAGCCTTTTTTATGGTAAACATCTTTGTCGGTTTCGTTATCGTAACTTTTCAAAACGAAGGTGAACAAGAATATAAAAACTGTGATTTGGATAAAAATCAAAGAAATTGCATAGAATTTGCGCTTAAAGCAAAACCAGTAAGGCGTTATATACCAAAACATGGCATACAATATAAAGTATGGTGGTTTGTTACGTCATCATCATTTGAATACACCATATTTATTTTAATTATGATTAATACTGTGACTCTTGCAATGAAATACCACAATCAACCACCGTGGTACACTGAGCTCTTAGATGCTCTAAATATGATTTTTACTGCCGTGTTTGCGCTAGAATTTGTGTTTAAGTTGGCGGCTTTTCGTTTCAAAGTAAGTAAAATCTCAACACGTAATAAGTAACAAATTCAGTATAATGAAATATTAAATCTACTTGATTAATTTCTGGAACCTGATATATATTGAAACTAAAAGGTTTACAAGTTTTTATGTCTTAGCTTTTCAATATAGTAAGAAGTTTTTACAGATGTGTTCAGGAGTTTTAATTGGAAATTGGGTTTTGATATCACATCCCAACTTACTTACAAACTGTTCAGACGGTTTTTCATTAACAATTAATACAGTTCTCATGCAAGCTATGAAGTGTACATATTTCCCAATGTAAAAAAGCAATATCAACTACTTTCGTCTGTTGGGAACATTTCTCCCTACAATTTTATATTTTCACAACTTCTTGCCCGATTTCAACCTTGATGTAATTTCTATAATTTTCACAGACCACGACTTCTTCCCATTTCACACATTATTATTCTATCTCAGCAGTTAAATTTACAATAGCAAAATGAAGTTTTAATGATGGTATCAGAATGAAATAGTGTCTTCTAGACTTGGCACTTCTCGAAATCAGACTATACCTTTTCATGCTCTTTCTTAACGAATATCAGGACCTCAGCTCTTATGGCAAACTTTATACCGAAAATATCAATTAATCCGTAAAATGTCTTAGGGAAATTAAGTGGCCACATTTTCCTGATACTAGTGTGCTCTAGTGCCAAATATGGTTAAAACCTACTCAGTATGGTCTATTTGTGAACAATTTACTACGTCATACAAATATATGTAAGTTCTATAGCAGTACCCGAACTGAAAACCATCCCATGTTTTTCGCTAACAACTATAACACTATTTCCTATTATAACATCACAGTTTTAAAACTAAGATGAAGCATCTGTCATAATTTTTGTACCTTGAAATTTATTGATACTCAGAAATCACAAACTAAATAATAACTTCTGGTAATATTTCTATATTCCATAATATTTATATCTATCATTTCAAATTTACTTTTAGAATTACTTTGGAGATGCTTGGAATGTTTTTGATTTCATAATAGTATTGGGTAGTTTTATTGACATTGTTTATTCCGAAATAAAGGTAAGGTATAACTGTAATTATGAATTATTTCATATATGGTAACAAACTTTGAAATAAGCACAACCAAGTATTATCCATTAAATTTTTATTGCGTTTGCTCTTCAGTGATTATTGTTAGACATAAGCACTTCTCCCAAAATGATATCTCTAATCAATTCAATAAAAAAATTATGGATGGGAATAAATGTATTTTGTTAATAATGGGAAGAAATTAAGTGTAGGTTTTATATGTAATATATTACGTTTCTATCGCACACACTACCTTCTACTGGTAAACGATTTGTACTACAAACTGTAACACGTAGTGATATGAGTGAATTAATTAATATTTATAACTAGCTGACCCCGCAGCCGTTGTCCTGCATGAAATTATGTGATTTGAAATGAAAAAAAGTTGAGTTTATCATTTTATTTATGTTTTGTTTTTTTTTTTTTTAAAGTAAAGCAGCTTGATAAACAACATTTTTTGGTTTCTCTTCCGGTGTACAGAGAGGATGGTTTTCCAACTCGTACATATAGTATATCTGGCCGTCTGAAAAATATAGCATATCCAAATACATGCCACATGCTATGCGACTATCCTTATGTCCTGTTGGTTATTATCTAAAACCGAAAACGGAATGCGTTTGAACTGAAATGGCAAATCGTTAGTACCCAGAGGAATTCGTAGAAAAGCATTCTGCGCCTTTGTATTCGATAGTTGCGTCACAACCAGTCAGGTTTCATTACACAGTTTCGGCGCATGAAGATTGCGAAGCATAATAACGACAAATCCAACTTTGAGACGCAAGTGATGCAGTGGCATACCAAGCCTCTCCAAAGAATTAGAAATTCCACAGAATAATTTACGGCGTCGTCTTCATTGTCAATCAATTTGTATGAGCGCAAGTGTCCTGGAATTTGACTTTCAACCTTCGAGTTTAAGTCAACAACATCGTTATGTTTTTCAGCTATCGTAGTTACCATAACACAGTACAACAGCTAATCTGGGGGGTGAGAAATTCCAAGTCAGGGTGATGGTACTAGATAAGTATAGTAAAACCCTCAAAGGGTTTGGCC